TTAGAATGTGTGAAAGACAAGTAAATATAGTTGACTTGTTTGTTGGAGACTGATTGACCTATACATGATGATAGGCAGACAGATTTTCGTTTAAATACTATCGTTTAATGTTATCCCATACAATGATTTCAGAGCAACGATTGAGAGTTATAAGGAGATGATTTTTATGCCGACGGGCAAAGAGTGACAACTTTGTTTACTGAGTCAACGATTTACTGATATTAATGCGATGCTAAAAACTCCTTGATAACCATGACTTCTTACTTGTTTAATATGACTATTGAAATGCATGTTTAAATTCATTATTATTGTAAGAATTATTATTATAACATTGATGTATTGTTACTACTACTGAATTTACTAGTATTGGTATGGACACTAAAATTATTATGGATACTCCTATTAACTATTTTTATTGTTTTGGTTATTGAAATTGGCTGAAAATGTGATGCAGTGAGCATATGAGTAAAATAATAATATGATATTGATAAATTCAGCGGATAGTTTTTGTCATCGTTGATGATTTAATCTTACCGTCTTGATATGACGATTACTTTATAGATTTGACACTTGTACTGATTTATTGATTTTTGCACAATAGTTTATAGATTCTAATACAATTACATGCAATTTTTATTATTTATGCATTGATTCAGTGATCATATGAATATCATTGCTATGATTAGATAAGACGTAATGAAATATATATGCAGGGAAATATATCAATAAAGGGGCATAAAATCTCCTTTATTAGATTTAAACGAGAATTTGGCTTTTAATAGGACACAATGGAGAAAAAGGATTCATGTAGCCGACCCCACGTAGTGGGATAAAGGCTTGATGTTGTTGTTGTTGTTGTTGTTGGAAATATATCAATAATTTTATACAAATCCATCAAATGATCGCATATTTTCATTGTTGACTTCACAATGATATGTCCGACATGGGGTTTTTATAATCCTGGAGATCGGAACTATTTGATGGTGGACGACAGATGTCAAACATTATTCAGTTTTAGTGCCAGTTGACGACAAGTTTCATCATCGTTTCCTAGTTCTAAATAATTTTCTATGTTCAAGCTCCACAACTTAGCTAATTGATGAAAATCTCGATCGGCCCACCGTAACAGGACCAGGTTTCTCTTAGTTAAATAAAGAGGCTCCCCTCCCGCATTAGCCATGTGCAGTCTCTTCTACTAAAGCTGCTAAGTAGTTGGTGACATAGCATTTTGTAGGCCACCTTTTATTATATCACTTTCTGCTGCTGCCACCTAACTCACTGGACCACCAGACTCACACAACTTCCATTAGAAATGCAATAGAAGTTGAAGGACAGAAATAAAAAAGTTTTGTTATGAACAGAAGTATCATATATTCCCACAATTCATATTCATAGGAGTTTAGATCATAAGAGAGAGGGGAGCCCACTCCATATTAGCCTGAATATATATAAAATAAACCTTTGAGTTCCCAGGCCGGCTGGTTTAGTCCCTTGGGCAGACCTAGTTTCGCGTTCCCATCAAATCTGTTATCCCATTCCTAACCTGCAGAGATTATTCTATGAGGATGCCGAACATAGCTCTACATCTGGATACCAACCAGATTGAGCCACATCAGCGATACTAGGTAAGGGATACCGAGCCACAGGCTTAGATATCCGGACGGTTCCGCTTCCGCACAGAATAATTTTAAACTGAGCCCAACCTACTCAATGAGAGAGAAATCATAACACATATACAGAACATCTTCAGTGGTTAGCTTACCTAAGAAATAATCATTATAACAAGCAAAACCCAAACGTCTAAGAACTGTAGCTTGAGCCTCATCGCTGGGAAAGCAAGCAGATATTCTGCGATAAGGAAGTTCATATCGCAGATATTCCTACCAAGAAGAATACCAGTGACTTAGTGATAAAACTCATTTTAGTTCGTCTCCTGTAAATAAATCTAGCTATATGTTTTATAAATAGAATAATTATATATATGCGTTCATTTGCATTCGGCTGCATATTGACTCCCCCCTGCTATTCTTTGCAAGATTCTTCATTCTCATGTGTTTCATTTCACTGTATATAAATGCTTGATCCATTGATTAAAAACTATGACTTCGTTTGGGATGGCTTTCTTACTACTTCTTAAAGCAATTTTTTAGTTAAAAATTTTAAGAAATAGTAAGAAAGTCGTCCCAAACGAAACCTATATATACTAGAATTTGAGTCACGCACTCTGAATTTTATTGTGCAATATTTTAGATCGAAAAATAGATCAATCTTGCAATATTTTCTTAGAATTGTTTTTTATTTTAGAAAATTTAAGCAAAAAAAAAACTAGGCTTTACGTGTTCACCTTTGAAACTATATATAAGAAACATTTATGCAGAGCATACCAGCTCAAGATATTGAATGCTTCAGAAAATGGCCCTTATGTTTTGAAATTGCAGATGAAGAGCCATGTAAAATAAAAAATATGCTTCTCTTTTCCTAGTTTCATAACAAGTAATCGCATAAATTCTACGGAAATGAAACATCACCTTTATCTGTGCAGCTTCATTCCAAGAATGGTGACTAGTTTGCATAAAAACTTTTAATTGATGAAATACATATAAAAAAAGTTTTTTTTTTTTTGGAAAAATATAAAAAAGTGTTAAAATTATAAAAATGGACAGTAATTCAGTCAGTCAGGATGCATTGATGACAAGCTGAATGAGTCTTTTTTTTTTAGAACTGGGGCATCTACCCGCTTCCACTTCAAATGGAGCGCTTCACGGCATAAATAATCTCTCTACGGAACGCCGGAACCTAGCGAAGCCACCCACTGGTATCGGGCCCACGCTTGCCGCTCCATTATTTATTTATTTATTAATTTAAGCACTTATACACCAATACTCTTTAAAATCTTTAGAAATGCAACTATGCCAATCCTACTAATTATGTTTGAGTTAACCTTAACCACAAAATAAGACAAATTAGCACGCATCCAACCATCCGTTAACTCTCACAAAAAATTAAATAAAATTCGAAGGTAAACCAAATACCACTTTTAGGGAGAGTACGTGAATCAAAGAGAAAAGAAAGTTGGGTGAGATATATTGGTGATCCAATTTATTTTAAATCCAAAAGCTCAACACTTTAGGTGAGGACCAACCTCTTATTGTTTTAAGTTTTTTACTTCCACCATGTTACATTCATTGAGGGACCCTTTTCCTTTGTATCCCTATTTCATAAGAAAGACAAAATAAATGACTTTGCTCTTCTTAATGGGCTATGATCATAAGTAATAAATGTATATTCCCACTTACTTTCCATTTTTTATCTATCCCAAATCCCATTACAACTATCCAAAATCATGTTGCAATGAAATACTATCCTAACCTCCTTGTCTTTTATATACCCTTATTCTAACCAAATTTATTTCACATATACACACAAGTCATCACACAATCCACACTTCTCAATCTTGTCCATAACCCATGTAACCTTTCATCCACTACAACTAACCCGGCCAATGCCACTCAATTCGCTTCAATTACCACACAACCCACATGTGACTCTCATTCTCCACCACTAGCTCAAACTCCTTTTGTGGCGTCTCCTAGACATGACTCTTATTACTACCTCTCAAATTCCGACAATTAGACAATATATGAACTATCCACCTCTAAGAAGAAACTTCATATGATCCAAAAGCAATATATTTACACCTAATATGTCACAAAAAATTGACTAGATCATGCACAAATCTCAAGGCAAATTCAAGTTGAAATTTCCAAAATTAATTTTGGGGCCGTTCGAATCTTGATTTCAGCAAGCTCATAGTCAAACTGAACGTCTCGAAGAGAGGAACTCAACAACACCAAAATCGATCCAATTCAAGCCCAAATGGGTCCAAATCAGGGGCCCGAGCCACATTTGGAAGGTTGAAAGCCTAAATTGGATGACTAAATGATGCTCACATATAACATGCTTATAGTCGAATTGAGCGGCACGATGATACAAATCCAACGAGCTCAAGATCATTGAATTCTGACATCATTAAGGTACTTAAACACTTGAAAAACGTTTTATGATATGGGGGGCTAAATTAAAATAGTTTTTTTTTTGCCGTCTCATTTGGATGGTTATAATACATTAAAATAGTTTCGTTTGTCATCTCATTATCGTATCCAAGAGGAGAATGAAAATAACATGGCCATTAGGGCTTAGAAAATATAAATGTATGCCACGGGCTATCTTTGTTTAGGTGCGAGAGAGGAGCGAAAGAACAAACGAAAGCTGTACTTGAGGTCGTGAGCCACGAGAGAGAACCAAAAGGGAAAACAAACTATTAATGTTTTTCATGTGTCCAAAAAAAGATGTTGGTTGCTTCTTTGGATTAATAAATAATTTAAAAAAAAAACTATAAAAATTAGAGTTTGCTTCGTCGTTGGAGAACTTGTTGCTCTGTTAAGCCACTAAAGAAATCATCTTTAAGCCATTTTAGGATTTCAATTTTAGATTTAGCCACTAAAATAATAATTTCTCATGTTAATCAAAATCTCTTTTCATCATTCCATCCACAATGTAAAGTCATTCCTCCATCTCTCTTTTAATATTGTACCCCATTAGTCTTTCTCTCTCTGTAGTTGAAGCATTGTATGATCCGAGTATAAGTTGGATTTTTGAAGTCTTGAAATGGAAAAAGCATTTAATAAATAAAAAGAAAGCTAACAAGGGGTTGTACCATAATGGATGCTTAAGTTATATGTGAGCTTATGCCATATATATATTGTTGCGTCCTGGAATATTCGCGGCGGTAGAGAAATATTTAGTTTAACGTCTTAGCATTGTTTTTTTTTCATAAACAAACTTTTAATTTGCTAGCGCAACAAATACACGTGCGCGCCCCAGACGTGGGGCCCTCAGGCTGGCCTTGGCTTTCTTACGGTCTAACCACTCTTTGAACCCGCAAGTAAGCATCATAATAACTACCAAATTCCTCAGTCATCGCATTCGATTCCCATCCGAAAGTTCGTCGGCTTGGGGCTCATGGACAAGGGCAATGATTGTAATATCTCCACACGCTGAGTCTAAAATAGTAACCTCGTGAGATTCATGCGTTAACGACCTATTTGTCATCTCCAGCGTTAGAGGAAAAACAAATTCGCAGTTCTCTCCTTCCCAACGAAAACCCTAGAGCCAAGTCTCCAGCTTAAACGAATCCTAGCCGCAGATTTCTCGATTTACGGTCAATATCTCCCCAACCCTGTTGCTGCCTTTATTAGTGCTGAGACCTGATAGTGCGATATTTCACGCACTCTCCAATTTGCTTCTCCTCTGTCATCACCTTCTTCCATCTACGAGCTGCTTCAACCACAAAAATGGCGGTCGGCTTCGCCGGTCAGGAGCTCAAAGTTTGCAACTTTTACCTCGTATTTTAGAAATTGATACTATGATTCATGGTTTTGAGTTCACTGAGGTTCTTAAGCTGTTGCATTTACTATGATATCGGATGTGGGGATGACGGCGATGATCGGCGGCGGCGGTGAGGTTTTTAATAACGATGATCTCGGCATTTACCGCAGCGGTTCTGCTCTGCCGACCGTGGAGGGCTCGATGACGGTTATGAACGGGTTGTTCACCGGCGATGCTTCACGCTTCGGGGCCCTCACGGAGGAAGATGTCCGATATGATCCAGCGCATCTCTCCTACTACTACTCCAAGTCGAATCTGAACCCGAGGCTTCCGCCGCCGGTGATATCCAAGGAGGACTGGAGGTTTGCGCAGAGGTTTCAGTCTGGGAGCTCCGCGGTAGGTGGAATTGGAGATAGGATGAAGATTGATAGGGTTGAGGAAGAGGGTAAGAGGTCATTGTTTTCAATGCAGCCTGGATTTGTTGTGAAGGAAGAGGATGAAGAGGAGGATTCTCTGTTGGTGCTGGGTTCAGGTGAGTGGCTGGAGAAAAGAGGGGATGGGCTGAGTGGTTTGACTGGGTTGACGGCTGGCCGGCAGAGGACCTTTGCTGATCTCTTTCAGGTGATTTATGGTTTCGGGTTTCAGTGAATGAATTGAAATGCTGCTATGTGGATCAAATTTTAATTTTTGAATCTCATACTTATTTTATTGTATTCTCTTGTACATGACTGGGATAAAGTAGTCAACTAGGTCCTTAAGTCCTTTTGAATGGTTTACTATAAAACCTTTTTCATTTCCAATTTTATTTTCAAAAGGGCACCAAAACCTCCCCTCTCCTTGTTCTTGATTACTACAGATGAGGGTCATAAATGAGTCAACATGGCAGAATGCGCTTTGAGGAGGACCTCTACACTTAGTGGCGGAATCAAGAATTTTTATTAACAAAATAATTAAATTTTGCGTGCATAAATTGAATGTTTACTGTGGGACATATCAAGTAACTAGAGCATATTGATATATGCGTTTTGTATATAAAGGCATATTAAAATTTAGGGGGGCTCGCACTAATCAATATGATCCGTACATTCAACGTTTATTAGGGAGAGTTTGAACATTCTACAATAGTTGCAATCCTATTATCTATGAAAAAGAGGCACTCATGCACTGTACCATACATTTCTATAATGCATATTTATATGTTTAGCTCTGCCAATATATATTTTTGGTACCTGTCGTATTAGATTTGACTTATGTTAAGAAAGATAGAGGTAGACCTAAAAAGACTTGGTTAGAAAATATTAGAAATGATCTTTCTTTATTAGATTTAAACGAGAATTTGACTTTTAACAGGACACAATGGAGAAAAAGGATTCATGTAGCTGACCTCACGTGGTGGGACAAAGGCTTGATGTTGTTGTTGTT